TGCCGCCAACCATATATATACATAGGCTGCTGTAAGTGGTGTGGCGAGACTACCAAATACTTCTGCCAGCTTTTGTTTTCCTATCTGACTGTCCTACCTTCCAACAATCTAGGAAATGTCCAGCATGATAAATTTGAGCGTTTCGGTTATTTTTCTACAGTATTGGCTGTGATGTAAAGACACGACATTTAGATGCCCGTTGCATAGCGATCTGTTGAGCTTAACGATTTTGAGCCAACAGGCTGAAAGCTGGTCGATCACTGCAGAGGCGAACAGAAGGATAGCATGCAATCGATTTAGATCGACATTGAACGAAGCTCGAACGCTAGCCGAGAATTACTGATTACTGAGTACTGGTTAGAAGCAGCGAGTAGTGTTTGCTCTGTGTAGCTGTATCAATTGTCACTCATGGACAAATACCCGTTGTGTTCCGCTCAATATATTTTGGGTCGGCAAATTGTTTGTCAAGGAACTACTTAAATTCCGACACGGACTTTGCCTCAACTACGTGCTGAGGCAAGTCGTTCCATACATTCACCACTCTGCGTTCTAAACAGAGTTGGTGAGCGACCCGCTTCAAATCCGGTACGACAAGCTTATCCCGGTGTCCTCGTGTGCTGCTTGGTGTGCGCAGATGCAGCAGTGGTCTCAACATACGGTAATCACCCAGATGTAATATCCGGTGCGTCATGATGAGGTCAACCCTCAGTCGACGATAAGCTAGGGTGTAAAGCCCTAGTTTCTTACACCGGTCTTCGTACGGCACACCTCGTAAGTTGGGAATCAACCTGGTGGCTACATGCTGCACTCGCTCAATCTTTTCTACCTTGCTCCGGGTGATAGGACAGTACGCGGCAAGGAGATTTGTTCTGCATCTGTGAGTGATTCTAATTGACTCGAGATATAAAATGAGTTTGTGTGCTATGAATAATGAATTTCTGATCGAGGCCCAGACTTTGAGTTTATGATTAACAGAGGGTTACTTGACAATGGTGATCTATCCTTCCGATTAATTGAGAGGAAAATTGCGCAACACCCCAAAAATAGATGAATAAAGCGATGGCCTGGCTAATTACAACACATGTTACTGAGGCTGGTACACGATTCTTTTTCAGATGTATGGAATGTAGAAGTAGGTGGTTTGAGCGCACATTTCTTAAGCCAAGCATATATAGACGAAATCATTCCACATGCAACGAAAATGGCTACAGGTTTTGTTCTTTCAGGCTTTCATTGCAATTGTGGCTTTCATGGTCAGCTGCTGGACGCGCAAAACTGGCAACGTTTAGAAGTAAGTCACGCAATTATTGCCAATTTATTATTGGTCTGATAATAACAGAAGCTGAACCAAAGAAGTGAGGTAAATTAGGATAAGGAGAATGGATAGGAATAAACAAAATAATTGCTTTCGAAGGAAAATAGGTTGACGACGTGAAATTGTGTTTTCTGTTGCTGACGTTTGGTCCCGTTATTTGCGTATTCCAGCGCGTTTCAATTTTTCTATTATTGCACAAAAGTTCTGAAAAGAGACAATACAGTTGTATTTCAGTGTCCTCAAATGACATGTTTTAGCCACACAGACATCGCCTTATCATAATCACTGCTGTCGCACTTTCCACTAGACCTGAGCTTCATTCGCATGGGCGAGAAGCGTATTGCTTGGCATTCCCCACCTTGTACGACCCACATTTACACTACCTCTAGGCAGATTGCCGGGGTGGCGTGCCAAATTGAAAAAGAAACTTGGAATATATCCACAGTGATCATTGTTCAAAGGAGAAGGAGTACGGAAAATATCGCGCGTGTACTGCATCTACCTGTGCCCAGTAATGTGGCAGCGTTTTGGTGTCAACCGAAATCAGTTCAAAGGCAGAGCCAAAGCGTTTGCTTTTGGTCGTATTTCGGTTTGTTGCGCAACACCGAGTATGACACCGAAAATGCTATTGGAAAGGCCCCCGAAAGATAAGAAGTGCCGTTGAATGGGGCGCATAGATAAAGAGGGCTCCGGGCAGCTGGTAGGCATAAGGTACGTTGGGTTAACTCGTAAATCAGATAAGTGCGTGATTCAAGTGGATGCTGTGCACTTGCCATCATGCCACTATTGAGAGATTAAACGTGTGAGAGTCATGCAACGCAAAAGAGCCCTTTTACGAATGGGCTGCAAGGAAATGCCATGTAACTTGGACTGCAGAAGTACCATCGCAGCAGACTGGGGTGATGGACCAAACACCCGAATTTCTGGTTTGTACTCTGTGTATAAGCCACCGTTGTAATCGGACAACTGAAATGTACTTCGTAAAACAGCTTACAGAAAACTTGTATACATTGAAGCTTTTTAGGAGGTGGTGCAGCAACGGACTTCCTTTTGTTCAACATCTACAACCAACGGCTCATTGCGAAGTTTGTGGTTGCAACAGGGACTAAACTAACAACTAGCTCTACAATTTGCTTCCGTGGTTTAGGTTTTGAAAATAATGTGCAGCTCGAAGTTGCTTTAAATCCTTAGACAAATACCAATGAATCAGATCAAAAGAAGAGGGCCATTTTTAAAACCACTGACAAAAGATAGTAGCTTACCAAATTCTCCAAGGATCTAGCTATATCTAGAGCCGTGTGATTTTTCTAAAAAAGAAGGTGTGCAAGTGAGAACCGTTTAGGGATAACGTGGAATTTTGTGGCTGTCCACAATTCCATATATGTGCGAGAATATTACAGAAAAACCTAGAACAGAGCATTCTATCATAAAAAAATAAACACAAGACTTCACACACGACAAGGCGTGACTCAATGGTGGTAAATGCGAACTGGTTTGCATCTCTTGGCTTCGGAGCTGGCCTAACAGCGGTATTTCATTTAGAGGCAAAGGTATTTTTATGAATTCCGGCAAAGCAACTGTAACAAAAAAGGGATGCATTTGGTTAACTTTCATCTCAATAGCTCCTCACGGATCTGATGGGGTACCCAGTGTGCGTAAACCTTTTTGAGACCAAAGTTCTCCTATAGGACGGTGCACATTGATCCTGATGTGACACCGATGGCCTTCCCCAGCTGTACCAAGCAATCACGCATCCTCCTCCAGCATCACTTGCACTGCAGCAATTTTGTCCGCGGTGGTGGCCTCCACAGGTCAACCACACCGTGCCTCAACATCAAGGGACCGCATGCCACGCTTGAATTCCGCAAACCACTCAAACACGATTGTTCTTGAAGGTATGTCATCACCAAACGCAGCATGCAATCACCTAACACTGATGTTGATTTAAACCCCATTTGAAGTGATAGAAAATCACCACCCTTTATTGACATCGACTGATTTCCATACTTGCAGTTAGGGTACAGCTACCCTTAAGGCTAGTGAACCGTGCTGGGCTACTGATATAAGCTGTGTGAGTTGAAATAACTAAACACTGTCCAGAATGGAGTACAGTTCCCATTTTTGTTGTCAGGTCATCTGCATCTAAGCTGTGTACTGCGTATCCGGCAACTTATTCCTCTTTCTCACAACTTTGGTCCAGTTAGTAGATAAGTATATGAATCAGCTTTAAACCTGGAAACTGAAAGATGGAACGCAAGCATCTGCTGTTCCAAATGGGTTTCAGCAAATTCATAGCATCAGGTTAGTGCTTAATTCAAGCAAAAACCCTGAGTGCACTGCCTGTGAGATCACCGAGACCAAGAGACGCATGCAAGCCCGAGAATAATCAACTAGGAGCTTTGTGGTATCCTTTACGTATTTGGCACACAACAAGACCGATAAAGATAAACGGAGTGCAGGCATTTGTTAACATTGTAAAGAAGGAGTTGTGTCGCTCAGATTTCCTCGGAGCAGCAGTCAGCGATGACCATCATTACCTCAATGAGGCTATGAGATGAAATCAGGAACCATAGACCTTCTTTCCTTTTCGTGTCACTAGGAACGCTGTATAACTGGTAAGCTGCAAAAAAGCCATCTTTAGAAAAACCAACTAGTTCTTGGATAGCGCTTGTTGTCCTCACAGAAAACACTGCACTCTATGATCGGTTTGGACCTTGTTTTATCTCATCAGTTAGAGATAGCGCGCACGCAAACTCGGGACTTTGGGGATATCGTCCGAAACCTCTACCCCAATCCACAGAGCCATGGTGAGTAACCATTGTCACAACTGTACAATAAACCAACATGCTAGTGTTACTGACAGCATGAACTGTTCACCCACTTCTGCGTCCACTTATTTAAGCGAAGCTAACAGGAGCACGGTGGGTGGCGTGCTGTTGTGCGAATTGGTAACCAGCTTCAAGCTGTTAAGACATGAAAATAACCGTTTCTGCTCATTCATACCCTCTTCAGGACAGTATAGAGTGGATTACGTACAAACTTGGTATATGAAAAGCAGCGTGAGCCCTTTGGACAGTGCGGACTTTTTAAAACTGTACTATTGAGAGTCATTTCGCCAACTCCTTTCGTTACCGAAGAAATAGGAATTGACGTATCACCTTGTACTTCATCTTCAGAACTCTCTAAATAGAGGTGGGCCTTTCATAGGCTTTACTCAAATTTTGCTTCTGATTGCCTAGTAATGACTAGTGATCCCGCTACTAAATGCCAAGGGGTGCACCGCTGGCTCAGTCAGATTAAGTACTCTGGTGATTGACCGAGCTTGGTTTGCTAATACCCAGTATGGGAAACCACCGAAAAACAAATTCTGCCTTATAGCAGCTTAAACGTTAAATTGGTCATGCTTTTTAACAGGTACCTACCTAAATTTCGGTTGATCAGATAAATATCGTTTAACCAGTTAGGTTCAGCAATGTGCATGTAAACGATGAAATGGGTACCGGAATCGTCAAATTACCTTGTTGCGAATGTCCGGATCGGCTCCACTGGAGAGCAGCAGCTTCGCCAAATCGGTGTGGTTTCGGTGAAAAGCACAGTGGATAAGGGCCGTCTGTCCATACTTGTCTCTATGGTTCACGTTCGCTCCGCAGTCAATGAGTGCAGCACCTACTCGCGGATTGCCATTGTTTGCCAAACATGCTACAGCCAAAGACAACAAATGAGGGAAATATTCCAATCTACTGGATGCGAATGCGCACGTGACTAAGGAGGGGAATGAACAACCATATTTTTTAGCAAAGGACCTCCTAGTGAGATACTAGAATCCAACTTGAACAAACTCCCCTCTCGTTAGTTCACGCGCCCAACAAAGAGCATTTGGCAGAAAAAGCGGAACCACTTTTTGCTCAAAGGTTCATCACAAGTATACGATGTTTTACTACAATCGGTGCCACCTTCCTCTAGCTAGTATTTAACTATAAACTACCGGTAAATGAAGCAACGAAAGCCATGATAATACCAGAAATCAGTAATGTAGGTACTTCGGTAGTAGACAGCTCAGTCAAACTACTTCCAGGTACCTACAGTGGCATAATAATTCCATTCTTTTGCGGAACTGCGTGTACATGATGAGGCAAGTTTGCAAAAGTTATCTGTCAGGCTCTGAATCGCAGACTTCCTTCTATACACGACTTTGAAGAATACGACAGCTCGCCGGTAACATTCTTCTCTGCTCTGTATTGATTTGGAAATGTTATCTAAAAATTTCTTGCCTATCTCTGGAAATACACTCAATCGATTCGGATCGCCGAGTTCCACACAAGGGGATCTATATGTTTGAAGTTGGTAAAACAACACGCTGGTACACTCCAAACGACGTCTTCGGCAGATCATTCACGTGTGCAATCTTACTGTGTTATGTCCTACAGTCATCATCATCAATAGCATTACCTCAGCCATATGAACTGAGGTTTTGCTGTCGTACAACCACAGTGACCTACATACAGAACGGCGGCCAATAAGAGGCAAGGAAGGGGACTTACCGGAGAAGTTAATGCCTTAGGCAAACACTCAGGGTCAAAGTGTCTACACCTTGCGGCAAGAACATACTGTCACAAAAAGTTGGCTATCGTGCAATTATCAGGTGACACCAACAAGACAGCATCCTTGCGGTTTTAATTGCCTCACGCCATAACGGCCATTACTCCGCAGCGAACTCAGCAGTCCAACTTGGAGACGACAACGGACACCTCAGTGGTCTCGATTGTGAGCCATGTCCGTAACGTGTCGAGGTAAGCACAAGACGTGTTACATAAACCCCAGTCTGGAAGGCGAGACGGACCGACGGCACCGAGTTTGGTCAGCAGTGTCTTCATTTCCCGTTGTCAAGTTAGTTTTGTTCACCTCAGACCTAGCGCCACCCTACATCTGACAGACTAAACAAGGCCCTCCTCGGAAAGCGGAGACCGGGCATACGTAGTACTTGTCCAAACCAATGCAACTTACTCAAGCGCTATCTGTTGTTCTGCGAAATAAGCTTGGTTTTCACTGCCTGATATTCGATCCCGCATATCATCGCTGCGGACCGACTGCTGCCACTCGAAGCCAAAAGTTCTCCGCAGACAGAGATGATCATAGACTTGAAGACACCTCAGCTGCTCAAATCTAAGGGGCCATGTTTCAAACCCATTGATTAGGACGGCCCAATTTGTAACTTCGAATACACTGTTTTTTATACTAGTGAAACTTCCTCCTGAGGCCACAGATGTCGCAGATTCAAAAAGCAGTTCTAGCTTTTGCAATGCGTGAACTAACTTCAGTGGTAATGTGTCCACCACCTTGTGTACCTCACCATCTAGCATCAAGGGGTTAGCAAGTAACTGGTGGTCCTGTAACAGCACTTTACAATTTGAAGGCGTGAAACGCATGCCAAATGATGGGACCACGCTTGACAGGTTATACATAGCTGATTACGCAGACTTATCATCGTTAAACAACAGGCTACTATAGTCCGCATTAGAAGGATGAACTAGCTTTTCCTCAGCAACACCATAACACCTGCATCGCGAGACTCCGCAAGGGAACAATCCATGATGAAGTCCAAGATGAAGTTGAAAAATAACGGGAAAATCGGAGAGTCTTGATGAACGCCACTTGTTGGGGGAAAGATATCCCACAGGTTACCGTAGAACCTGACGCCGCCTGTGTCGTTCGAGTGCAGGGCATATAAAATTTTCACATATTTCATGGGAACATGGGAACATCTCAAAAAGAATGTGTCGACCGACTGAGTCGAACGTACGCTAGAAATCGAGGAACACAAAGTTAATTATGGCCCTTAGCCAATGAACGGAATAGAACGCGCACGCGTAGTATGGAACCGATTTATTAAAGGCATCCTGCGTTACAGTGTTTAGAAAAGCTGGAAAGGAAAATCAATGAAATACGGAAAGTAAGGCTAGGTCATTCTCAATCAATCATGTGAAGGTCTGTGTTTACCAATTGATATTCAAGTGCGTACGTACCACCCCTGTCTTCCCTGGTAAAGACTACAGACCCCGGGTTGATACCGATCAATTAGCTTAGGCGTTCGTTTTGAGCGTTTTAATTCTGATTGTACCGCATCCGTTTGTGCTTTCTGGTTTTGTGAAGCAGATTCTCCGTCCGTCATTGTGTCAGTAGTAATCGCTTTTTGATTCCGCTCCTGTGGTTCGCTTAACCGTAGCCGGACATGGTTAAAATGGCAACGCACCACACGGCCGTCCTCCAGCTTTAGCCTCGCTTGCTTACACGTTGAGGACATGAGTGTTTCAGGTTGCCAGCTTATTTCGTGAGCCAGTCTAGTGTAGACCGAATAAAAATCATCAAGACACATTTCCTCGGGCATCTTTTTATCCACACATATTTGCTGCTGCTTTTCATCCATACTACTTTGAGAGTTCGGAAAATGTAGGTGAAGTCTGGTTCCTAGTGGCCGAGCAAACATTAATTCCGCGAGTGATTTCCCTGTCGACTCAGTCGGTGTCGTGCGGTAAGAGAACAGGAGACGATCCAAATTAGTTTGCAGAGTTCCATAAGTTTGCTTAAGGAGACCTTGCTTGACAGTCTGAACTGCACCTTCTGCCATTCCATGCGACGCGGCATGGAACGACGCAATGTGTTGTATACCACTGTTACTCAAGAACTGTTGAAACTCTTCACTGGTAAATGGGGTTCCGTTGTCGGTGCATACCGTCTCTGGGATACCGAAAATGGAGAATATGGAGCATATTTTTGCAACTGTTGCTGCGGAAGTCGCATGTGGAACTGAACTATGCCTCTATCTGTTTAGAATAGGCATCAATCAAAAGTAGACACATCAACCCATTGATTGAGCCAAAGTAGTCCGTGCGTACCCGCTGCCAGAGCCTCTCTGGCCAAAGCCATGGACGTATTGGTCAGGGAGATTTTTGCCTTTGGTATTTCTGACATTATTCGCACTTGTTCAGCAGTCACTCTATATCATGATCAATATTGGGCCACCAACAGTAACCACGTGTCAGTGCCTTCATCCTGTTCACGCCTGGGTGTGCAGCATGCAGCTACCTCAGCAACTGGGGCCGTAGTTCTTCTGGAAAAAGTATGCGCGAGACTCGAAATATACAGCTGTCGTATAGACCCAACTCATTACTCCGACAGGCGAATGTTTTCAGTTCCTCTGACGTGCTTGTAGGCCGTCCGGTCATCAAGAATCGTTTCAACATCGAAAACACAGGGTCCCGTTCCGTCAGGCGCCGCACCATGTCACTCCGGATGGGTGAGTTTTCAACGTATTGCATCAAATTGATAAACTCCATGGGTACACTATTCGTTTTTGTGCCATGCTGCTGCGGGAGGCGACTAAGTGCATCAACAGTGGTATTACTTGGTCCGTTTACATACTGAAGTTCGTAGTTATAGGTACTTATAAGTACTGCCTACCTTTGTATTCGAAGCGAAGACATCTGTTGGCGTACCTTCTCCTCACACAGAAACAAAAGAAGTGGTTTATCGTCGGTGTGGATATCAAACTGTCTATCCCAGACGTATTGGTGGAAATGCTTGACTCTGAAAATAATCGCTAAGGCCTCTCTGTTCAGTTAAGAGTAATTCCTTTCAGCGGGTTACAGAGTACGAGAAGCAAAAGCGATTAGACGTAGAGAACTGTCATCCATCCGGTGGCAAAGGACTGCACCTACTCCACGTGGGGAAGCGTCACACTGCAACACTAGAAGCCGGCTCGGATCGAAATGCACGAGATACGAGGAGGCGCTGAGCACCCTCTTTGCATTTTTGAAGCCTTTCTTTGATCCGGATCATAAGTCCAGGACTTCCCCTTGTGCAACGGTTCGTAAAAGGGTGCAAATACTGTTGAGGCATTGGGTAAGAGGCGACGATAGTCGGAAAACATCCCTAAAAACAATCGGAGTTCAGCCTCATTCTTAGGTCCAGGTGCGACAAGGACGTGTATTACTTTGTCTTCTAACACGTGTAATGCGTTTTTATAAAGACAGTAACCAAGATAACGCACGGAATCCGAAAAACAGGTACTCTTGGATTCTTCAGTTTGAGTCCACTCTGTTGTAGAAGTGCAAGCACAGTAGATAGTGTTTGTAAATGTTCAACATCTCTATGTCCTTTAATTAGAATACCGTCAAGATAGGCCCAAGTAAAAGGAATGTCTTTGATCAGCTTATCAAATATCCTTTGGAATATCGATAGGGCCGAACTGCTTCTGAAGGATAGACGTTTGTACTGAAATAGACCCATGTGTGTACTGATCGTAGTGCATGAGCGAGAGGTTTCGTCTAACTCAATTTGTAAGTACGCGTGACTGAGGTCGAGCTGTGTAAAATTTGTCCGGCTGCCAGCGTAGTATACACATCCCCTATCCGAGGTAGGGGATACTTAGCCAGAATTAAACAACGATTAACAAATACGCACAGAACCATCCAACTTCAGGACTGGAATTATTGGAGCTCCCACTCACTGTATTGGACTTGCTCGATTGTTCCTGCTGATTGCAATCTCTTTATCCCGTCTGCCATCTTTGAGCTCAGGGAATAAGCTAGGGTACGTGTCCTGAAAAAGCGGGACTGAGTTCCCGGCCGTAATTTGATACTAGTCTGATATATGTGCAGTTTTCCTAGTTTCCCCTCAAAAACGGATCATTTGTACAGCAC